CTCCTCTCTCTCCCAAACGCTGGCTTGACTCTTTCCCCAGTGAGGTTCCTTTTCCAGGAAGTCTCTGATTTTTAAATGTGCACCAAAAAGAAGGAACTGTTAGACTGTCCAATGGCCTTCGTGGAGGCAAGGCCTCTGGGCGTGCCCAGAGCTAAGTCACCAGAGTCATCATCTGACTTACCATCCCCACAAAAGAGGAAGAGAAACCTACCCCTGAAAAGTTCCCCAGCGAAAACACAACGATCTCTGCATCCCCAGCCCACACACTCCCCTGCCCATCCACACTCACCAGCCCTGCCACAGATGCTTTCAGAAAGTTCCCCACAGCACCATCCCCTGAAGAGCAGATGAAAATAGACTGGTGTCAGTCCTTGGAATTTCCAGCCCCCATCATAGGCCAGTCGGAACCTGCCTGTGGCTGGGACACAGAGAAAAGGGGATTCCCTGGCTGCTGCAAACTCAGCCTGCCTTGGCTTTTCCAGCTGAGGAATTTCCCTAGGCTGAGGAGGCCCCATGCCAGAGCAAAACTGAAAGAGTTGCACAGTGTGGAGCAGCCACGCCTGGAGCAGGAAGACCTAGAGCTGTGGGGCTGGGAAGCAGAGGGTGGGGAGGCATCTGGCAGCCCTTTGCTGATGTCAGCTGAGGGGGATGGGGGGGCTCCTGTAGGGCTGCAGGGGGGAGGAGGAAGATGGGAAAGTGTGATGTTGCAGGCTCAGTTGTCCACTGCCTTGCTCTGACCCTACCCACTAGGGCAGTGCCCCAGATCTCTGCCCACCTTGAGCACAGTGCGCCCTGGGCTCTGCCTGTGGAGGGGTTAAGCCCCAAAGGGGGAGTGCCTGCGCCCTAAAGGGACGTGGATAGCTAACAAAATTCTACCCTTCTCCTGCGCTGAGCATGGGTAGAAGAGGAGTCCTGGGGAGCAGACCTCCTGCTCAGTAATATCTCCCATGGCTGTCCAGAGTGGGGCCCAGGCCACACACCCTTTCCTTGCTCCCCTCCTCCCCACAGCTGCCTCTTTCTGGCAGACAATCAAGGCCTGGCCCAGAGGTCATGGGCTGTGCCTTAGTGTGAAAGAGCAGTTGGGTTTCCTTGCACATGGCTGCATGGGGCCGCGGGTGAGAGGCCCTGGGTCCGGGGCCAGCGAGGGAGAACGCGGTGCAAACAATTGCTGGGGAGGTGAGCACTGAGGGGCAGACTGGTGCACGAGCCTGACCCTAGGACAGCCATTGCCGGGGAATTTCCTGGCCTTGCTGATCTACTCCACAGCTCTAACAGTGCCTCTCAATTCTGATCCGCAGCCCCCTGCTATCCCAGCCCTGGCCTCTCCACACACAGAGCTCTAACGGTGCCCCTCAATCCCAACCCACAGCTCCCTGCTAGCCCAACCTTTGGCTTCCCTTCCCCAGCTCTGCTGGTGCCCCTCAATAGTCCAGTGAGAGAGCCCTAAAATAATCAATATGGTAACTCCTGTGTGGATTTCCAACCTGCTGTTTTCAGTAAAGTCTCAAGCTAAAAACACAGTGTATTTTCCACAGCGACCTGTGACTGGAACAGACATGGGGTCACATTCTGCAAACCTCCCCCATCTCCAGTCCTGGGGGCTGGAGGTGGCTTAGCAGAGACACCAGAGGGTGGTATGTTAGGGGGCTTATTCCTTCACCCTCTCACTTTCCTGGTTCTTCTCACATGAACAGAGAGCAAAAATACCCAAAGTCCAAAGGTGCAAACAATTCAATGTTTATTGGGGTGAACTTCCAGCAAGCAATGATTCCAATTTCCTTCCTTAGTGTCCCCCTTCCCAGCTCTGACACCACAGAGCCTTACCTGTGGCCCTCTTCCCATTCCCACCACCTTAGCAAAACGTTATTCCAATTCCCCCCCTTACTTCCTGATTGACTGCAGACTATACAGTAAAACGTTGAGTTCTGCTTAGCTATACCTTAACCAATCATTTTATTGAAATTTAACTAACCAATCCTAACATATTGTAACATGATTATCTAACCAATTATATCCCACCACCTTAATTGGTTTACACCCAACAAAAGTAATTATACAGCAGACAGAAACAATCACAGAACCAGGCAGAGATTATTCAGACAAACAATAGAGAAATGAAAAGGAGGAGAACTTGTGGCACCTTAAAGACTAACAAATTTATTTGAGCATAAGCTTCTGTGGGCTAAAGAAGTGGGGACTACAGTGGTAGAACAACAAAGAAATAAGGATTTCAGAGCTTAGCTATCGATAAGTAAGTTCTTGCCAGCAGGATGCTATCAAACTAAGTTTTCTTTAAATCTTTTAGGCTCTCCCCTTTCTCTGAAGGTGATAAATCGAATCACCTTTCTAACAGCCCCAGATTGCCTTATTTCCATGTGACTAGTTTGAAATGTGAGGATGTGACCATAAATTTCCCAGCTTATGGCTGCCCCTGCTGCTTAGCCAAAGGCCTTAGTTTAAGAACAGGGCCTCAGACTGTCACAGTGAGAAAAGGTCCTTACACAGGCAGACAGTGATTTTAATTCTTGTTTTGTACCTCTATAACTAGCTAAGTGATAAGAATACATCTAAATTCTTAAAGTATAGGCCTTTCTAGACAGGCCTGAATAGCTATATCCTAACATGGTAGCATAGCCTTGTTCTTACACTTTGTCACCACTGGTCTGGCTCCTGCTGCCGATAGAGTCTCATTGGCTGGAACTGAAAAAAGTCGAGGAAAGATTGTGAGTGCAGCACTGAGTCCTGAGAGGGAAAAGTCCTTCTGAGAGCCTCGTATCAGCAACATCCTCTGCAGGCTGAGTGGCTTTGTGAATAAGATGTGGCCCAGCTGTGGTACAAGAATTGTCCAAACTCTGATGAGCAACTATGGTGTGTCTGAGCCACATCACTGGACCCGACCCTGCTCAGCTTTGGTTAAAAGACATTTGAAGGTGAAAGGGGGTTTATCTGGAGATTTATGTGTGCGCATGCATAGGTGTGAAGCGGGGGGATCTAAAATGAAGCTTCCAACAGAAAAGTAAAACTGGGGACCAGATCCTCAGCTGGTGTAATTCAACATAGTTCCACTGCAGCTCAGCTGCAATGAATCCAACAGACTTCACTGATTGACTCCAGCTGGGTTCTGGCCCATGGACTCCAATGGAGCTATGGCCGATTGATACCAGCTGGAGATCTCTTTTATGACTGTGCAATTGCTCCCCCAGAACAACAACAGTTTTGTTTTAGGGTGGCAGGTGAAAGCATCCCAGTGCAGCCAGAGCCTGAATGTGGCCGAGGGTCGGTCAGGCTGGAAAGGTGGCGTCATTAACTCAGATCTGCTCTAAGGCTTACCCCACAGGAAATTGCTCACCCTCCCTCCTGTCCGGTGGCCTCACTCATTCTCTCCAGCACAGCCCCTGACCTTCTTGCTACATTTCAAGGGCTTCCCATGGCCCACTGAACAACCAGGCTATTGTCTGTGATGCAGCTGGATGAAAACAATCTCCCCTGGCTTTGATTCAGAGACATGTGCGTGTGTGAATTGCTGGTCTGCAAAGAGGGTGGTCCCCAGAGCAGAGAGCACATCAGCCACCCGCCATGGCTTTTCTGCACAGTCTAGATCATAGACCTCTCGCCTTCAGTGAGGAAGGATGGAGCGGGGAGGGTTGGTGAGGAGTTCCCCACAAAGCCACTTATGCAGCTGTGAAAGGTGCTCCCTGCTTTGGCTGCTGTTGTCAGATGGTGTGCATGTGTGCTCTCTCCATATGCTGTACCAACCCCACAGAGAGCGGGAAGCCTTGTTTTTTCACCTAAGATATGAGCAATTGAAATACACATGCTGTAAGAGTCCCAATATTTCTTCCAGGAAAGACTGAACTTTACATTTTTTATTTTTCTAATCAGGCTGCCCTTGTGACTCCTAAGGAAGCAAAACAGAAGTCCATTTTTCTAAACTTACTCTGCAGGTCATCATTAAACCTGAGTTCTTAAAGAACTGAGGTGGTTCTCAAACTGTACTTTGATTCTTGGATGCCAGATTTATTTTCCACTGCAGTGAGGCAGTCCCAGCAGCACAGGGAATGAGCAGTTGAATGCTGGAGTCTTTCCACGCTCAGTGCTAGCTTTTCAACAACCTTGGATGTTACGCTATTTCTGCTTATTCTTTTTGTCCCTTTCCCTGCCTCAGCATGTTCTGTGGCTCCCCCACTCCCTATATCTCACAGTACTTCTCACGCAAGAATCTACATCTGTAGCCATGTTTGAGGATTCCTTGAGCCCGAGCTGGCTTAGACTCAAAACCAGTAGTGCCCAAACTTTTCCAGTTGCGCCCCCACTTACCAGTAATGGAATCTGTCTGCGCGCCCCCCCCTTACTGCACAGTTGGCTCAGCAGAGGAGCTTGGGCTGAAGGCAGAACTGGGGATGGGGACTGAGAGAGAATGAGGGCTGGGCGGGGGGGCAGGGGCAGAGCTGGGATGGGTGGCACTCTCTTCCTTGCCCCACCCCTCCCCCCGAGTAGGGTCTGGGCCATGCCCGGTCCCACTGTGCCTCCCCAAACGTTCCTCTGTGACCCCTAGGGAGGGTGCATCCCACAGTTTGGGGACCACTGCTCAAAACAAAGCTTAGCTGTAGTCTGGGCAAGGCTTGAAAAGGGATATAAATGTGTATATATATATATACACGCACTCCTCCAGTGCTGCCTGTCAAAAGATGGAAAAACTTAACAGTTCCCCATTTATCCCCATTTATCTCTTACTAGGTTCAAATGCTGCCATTATCCAAGTCCTTGTTATTTTTAAAAGTCCTGTCACAGTGACACATGAGGATCTGATGGTTCCTTCTCTCAGCTGCTCCTAGGTGGCGGTAGGGTGAGGAACCTGTAGCTCCATGTGGCTGGGCAGAGGGCTGTTTGATCAACAATTTTGGGATGGAGTTTTGGGTAGTAGTGGGATGGAGTCCTTACCAGGTGTCCCCACAGAAAGGTGCTATTTCAGTTATTTTTGTTCTGTTTTGTTTAGCGCAATGAGAGGAATAAGCAAAACTCTCCCTTGAAAAACCCACCTCCCAAAAGGAAGAGATCTGTGAACAGCACACCTCCTCTGGGTGACACCAGTAAGAGATAGACAAGAGAGAGCCTTTTAATCAGTCAGAAATCCACTGAAGAGGAGCAAGAATTCACCGTCAACTTGGGTGATGGTGGCAAGGAGCATGTGGTGAAAGGCAGAACCCATGACAGCATCTACAAAGCCCTGACGGCGCTACCAGACATCTGTGCTCGGATGAAAAAAGAGAAGGGCAAGGAGATGCATCTACTGGGGAATAAAGGGATTGAGGGGTATGTTAACTTGGGGATGCCTCTCAAGTACATTCCTGAGAATTCCCACTTTGAAATGAAATTTTACAAAGTGAATTTGAATCAGAAAATAGGTGCGGTGGGACACCGACAGTATGAGAGCAAGGGAAAGAAATGCATAACATTTTATGTCTCCTCTCTTGGCAGTAGATGGGAGAACAATGCTTGATACAGAATTCTTTGGTGCCAGCAGCTTGCTAAAGACCAGAGCAAGTTGTGTGTCTTTGCCCCAGAAGGGGAGACCATCAAGGATGCCTTGTACAAAGATGGCCGGTTTTATTCTTGCCTGGAGAAAAAAGAGTGGCAGTTGGTGGAGAACAAGAAGTACAGACCTAGTGATTACTGTATCGATAATCTAGCCAACAGGTCATTTGAGGTGGTGGTTAAAACTAAGCCCCTGCCTTGGAAGGTTGATTGTTCAAGGAATGAACAATCCTGCATGGCCTCCGAGGAGGGGCAGGGGAAGACTTACCATTACTTTAAACGTGCTATCCTGGCCCTGTATTCTGACTTGAAGAAACAAAGTGCAGTGATTGATGAGCTCTTCGCAAAAGCCTTTGCAGAAGCCTTGAAGCAAGGGAAATTGAACAGTGCTGTGTTCAAACTGTACAGGGAGAACTTCGGGAAGGAGACTAAGAACTCCACTCTTATTAAGGTGCACAAACGCCTTGGTGTTCTCAGTGATTCTGGGGGGTTTATAGAGTGGGCCAACAATGGAAATGATGGCTCTGCCACTTGCTTTGTCTTGCGTGATAAGTATGTACTTACCTGTCATCATGTGGTAGGGCATATTGTTGGTGAAGGAGTGGAGGAGAAGGACTGGGCATTGATAATCAGTCACTCTGCCCGTGTGACTTTCTCTTATGAAGATAAATACCCAAAGGAAAACAGCTGGTTTTCACTAGCTCCTTGGTTTGAAATATCTGACAAGCATCTTGATTTTGCTGTCCTGAAACTGGAAGGAGATAGAAGCTTGTTCCCAGCAGGTCTAGTGCAATTTTCTTACCCATTGCCATTTAATGGTCTAATCTATATAATTGGCCACCCGGATGTGCAAGCGAAATCTGCAGATGGCTGTACTGTGGTCCCTGTATTTAAGCGGAAACGGGAGTGCCATTGTCATATCCAGCGTGATCAGAAGGGGGTGTGCAACAATGTCAAATGTGGCCCAGAGGACAGGCAGTGCATCCATATGTTCACCCAAAGAAGTTTCCAGCATGTGATCAACAATCCCAATGTAGTCACCTATGACACCAGCTTCTTCTTTGGGTCTTCCGGCTCACCGGTGTTCAATGCAGATGGCCAGCTGGTGGCCATGCACACCGCTGGTTATAAATATAAAAAGAATAAGCAGCTGCACAGCATCGTTGAGTTTGGCTTTTCCATGGTGGCCATCCTTGCAGCAATTAAAAAGAATTATAAAGCCTGGTATGAGTTTGAGCTCCCCTCCCTTTGGGAAGATGCTGGATCTTGTCCTGGTGAGCATGAGGATTTCACCAGTGCTTACACCAATGACATAGAAATGGAAACCTTGGAATAAAATCTCCATCTGCGAGAGCCTCCCCAACGCACACAGTGCATTTCACCCTTCATGTTGATCTCCATGCTTTGAAGTCTCCATTGTTCCTGACATGAACCTTCTTTGGTTGGTGATTTCCTACCAACTGCAGTCTAGTTATACCCCTCTCTGCTTTCATTATTCTTATTGAAATGATTGGTGACAAACCTTGAAATAACTTTTTATTTTTAATGAAGGGTGGTTAGTATGATGGGGTCAGTACCTTGCGTGTGGGATTCTTTCATAAGAAATGCATAGTCTTTGGACTTTTAAAGGCTGAGCTAGAGGGAGGAGTGGTTCTACAAATAATTATCAACCATTCTTAAAATATAATGGTTATAAACATAAACATAATTAATAAAGACAAATAACATAAATATGTAATAAAATATTATACAGTTTTTTTAAAAATGCAAAAGCTACTTTAATACCACATTAAATTAGCACTGTTTGAAAACGGTCAAAGGATTCCACAACATTAACTTGTCCCCCTGCCCCTTGTGCAATATGTGTATTTTGTTATGCATTGAACATATAAAGATTACATTAAATAGTGGCCACAACAGTGCCTCGTTTTGAAGTTAACGGGAATGAGCCTTTGAAGAAAAGAGGAAAAGAAAATACTACATATATGCAGCGTGGCAGAGATAACACTGTTATAGAAGCCTTCATTTTTTGCCTTGTCTGACTGATTTTTAACTTCATTATTGCATTAATGTGGCCTTTTGCATTTAGTTTCCTAGTTCTCTCTCTCTTTAAAAAGTGGAGCTGGGTGGAAGCGAGAGAAACACTTCTACTGAAACCATTGGGAGTTGTTGTAAGTTCTGCACAGTTGCCACTATTAACAGAGTTGCACTCTGCTTGAAATATGCAAGTGATCTGGTACCCTTGAAATGTACAGAAAGCCAGAAGATCTGGGTTCAATTCCCAGCAATGCCATATACTTCCAAAGTGGCCTTGGGCGTGTCACTTCATCTCTCTATGCCTCAGTTCCTGTTGCTAAAACTGGATTCTTTGTCCCACCCTTTGTCTGTCTTGTCATTTTAGACTGTAAGCTCTTTGCGGCCTGCGGGGTCTGTCTTTTACCATGTGTATGTAGAAATTCTGGCCTGTGGAACCTCAGTCCTGGTTGGGGCCTCTAGGCACCACAGTAATAACTTAATAGAAGGACAGTCATAGAAATAGTTAAATTGTAACAACCGTAACTTAAAACTTCTATAGCTATGCATCACTTTGATTGTAACCTATAAAGCCCTAAATGGTATGGGACCAAGTTACCCAAGGGATTGCCACTGCCGCAGCTGAGGTTGATAGATTGACTCTAGCTTGAGCTCCTCTCCCTGCTCAGTTTAAAAGGTTTCCATGAAGGCGCCTCAGTTTTGAGAATTCAGTCCTCCATTTGCTCCATCAGAGCTTGGACTTGTTAATTGTTTTGGTCTTGCTGCAAAGTCTGTCTCTTTATATGGGTGTTAGGGATGGAGGGTTCGTGGGTTAGAGATTCAGTGGGCTTGGATCTGGAATGATGGATATAAATTTTTATAAGTATTTAGTTTCACCCTTTAAGTAAAGCCAACTACATGCATGGAAAATTAAAAGTACCTAGAATCTGAGAGAGATGCTGGGAAAAATGCATAATATTGACATGAATCCCTTGAAATTAAGTGAATCTTTCTACTATGCCTGCTTCTCAGAGCTAACAGTCACATATTAGCGTGCACTAAAGTTCACACTTATGACATGTATGTGCAACCCATCTCTAAATTTGCCAACTCTGAGTCAATAGCACTTCATGCTGTGCTTGCTGGAGTACAGTGTCCCATTCTGGATGCCGCACTTTAATAAAAATGTGATAAATTGAGGTCCAGAGGAGAGCAACAGAAATGATAAAAGGTTTAGAAAACCTGACCTACGAGGAAAGGTTTAAAAAAAAAAAGGGTAGGTGTGTTTAATCTTGAGAAAAGAACACTGCGAGGAGACCTGGTAAGAGTCTTCAACGGTGCTAAGGGCTGTTATAAAGAGGATGGTGACGAATTGTTCTCCAAGTCCATTGAAGGTAGAACAAAAAGTAATGGGCTTAATCTTCAGCAAGGGCAATTGTGGTTTGACATTAAGGAAAACTTTCCAACTATAAGGATAGTTAAGTTCTGGACTAGGTTACCAAGGGAGGTTGTGGAATCTGTCATTGCAGGTTTTTAAGAACAGGTTGGACAAACACCTGTCAGGGATGGTCTAGGTTTACTTGTCCTGCCTCGGCGCAGGGGACTGCGCTTAATGATCTCTCAAGATTCTTTCTAGCCTTACATTTCTATGAGTCATAGATGTGAAGGCCACAAGGTCTGATTGTTGCATATTGATCAGACATGGTACAAATGATCAGTACAGGACAAAACTAATACTCTGGCCGTGCTATGCAGGAGATCTGACCAGATTATCATAATGGTCCCTTCTGCCTTAACATCTAGGAGTCACTTAATTGTTTTTTTTTCAGATTTAGTCATGGATGTTCATTTCAACAAGGACTATTTATGTGCTAAGAATCAAGCCTATATGCTTTTTTGTATAGTTAGTCTAGATATCTTTTTTTCCAGTGAGGGAAAAGACCCCTTTACCTTCATATGACTAGAACAACAAGGGTTTTTTCCTTAAACTTTCTCTCATCACTCTCTTTTGAGCAGAATGAGGAAATTTGAGACTTTTTGGTAACTTATGAGCAAGTAAAAACAGGGTTGTAATGTTATCTCCTTAACTATAACAAGTTGTGACTCGCAAATGCTAAATGGAATGGCTTGTTCATTTTAAGTGGTTGCAGATGTACCATCTTCACATTTATCAGAGCTCAGATTCTAAAGAGAGCCAGTTTAGGCTGATACTTAAACATGATTATCCAAAAAAAAAAAAAGGGAAGAAGGACGATCCTGGGAACTACAGGCCAGTCAGCCTCACTTCAGTCCCTGGAAAAATCATGGAGCAGGTCCTCAAAGAATCAATCCTGAAGCACTTGCATGAGAGGAAAGTGATCAGGAACAGCCAGCATGGATTCACCAAGGGAAGGTCATGCCTGACTAATCTAATCGCCTTTTATGATGAGATTACTGGTTCTGTGGATGAAGGGAAAGCAGTGGATGTATTGTTTCTTGACTTTAGCAAAGCTTTTGACACGGTCTCCCACAGTATTCTTGTCAGCAAGTTAAGGAAGTATGGGCTGGATGAATGCACTACAAGGTGGGTAGAAAGCTGGCTAGATTGTCGGGCTCAACGGGTAGTGATCAATGGCTCCATATCTAGTTGGCAGCCGGTATCAAGTGGAGTACCCCAAGGGTCGGTCCTGGGGCCAGTTTTGTTCAATATCTTCATAAATGATCTGGAGGATGGTGTGGATTGCACTCTCAGCAAATTTGCGGATGATACTAAACTGGGAGGAGTGGTAGATACGCTGGAGGGGAGGGATAGGATACAGAATGACCTAGACAAATTGGAGGATTGGGCCAAAAGAAATCTGATGAGGTTCAATAAGGATAAGTGCAGGGTCCTGCACTTAGGACGGAAGAACCCAATGCACAGCTACAGACTAGGGACCGAATGGCTAGGCAGCAGTTCTGCGGAAAAGGACCTAGGGGTGACAGTGGACGAGAAGCTGGATATGAGTCAGCAGTGTGCCCTTGTTGCCAAGAAGGCCAATGGCATTTTGGGATGTATAAGTAGGGGCATAGCGAGCAGATCGAGGGACGTGATCGTTCCCCTCTATTCGACATTGGTGAGGCCTCATCTGGAGTACTGTGTCCAGTTTTGGGCCCCACACTTCAAGAAGGATGTGGATAAATTGGAGAGAGTCCAGCGAAGGGCAACAAAAATGATTAGGGGACTGGAACACATGAGTTATGAGGAGAGGCTGAGGGAGCTGGGATTGTTTAGCCTGCAGAAGAGAAGAATGAGGGGGGATTTGATAGCTGCTTTCAACTACCTGAAAGGGGGTTCCAAAGAGGATGGCTCTAGACTGTTCTCAATGGTAGCAGATGACAGAACGAGGAGTAATGGTCTCAAGTTGCAGTGGGGGAGGTTTAGATTGGATATTAGGAAAAACTTTTTCACTAAGAGGGTGGTGAAACACTGGAATGCGTTACCTAGGGAGGTGGTAGAATCTCCTTCCTTAGAGGTTTTTAAGGTCAGGCTTGACAAAGCCCTGGCTGGGATGATTTAACTGGGAATTGGTCCTGCTTTGAGCAGGGGGTTGGACTAGATGACCTTCTGGGGTCCCTTCCAACCCTGATATTCTATGATTCTATGATTCTATGTGCAGCTGGTGGTAGTGTGGGTGAGTCTCTAAATTCTGAGCCCATTCACTGCCCTTGAGATAGGGGGCTCTCTGCGGGCAGAGGTGCTGTTTTCTGGAAGAAATATGAAAACAAAACCCCAATCAGTTGCACGAGCCTTGGTAAATTGTTCCAATGGCTAATTACCCTCACTTTAAAATCAGTGACTTAGTTCCCATTTGAATTTGTCTAGCTTCAACTTCCAGCCAATGGATCTTGCTAAATATTTGTCTACTAGATCAAAGAGCTCATTATCAAATACTTGTTCCTTGTGCCATGTACTTATAGATTGTGATCAAATCACCCCTTAACCTTCTCTGTGTTAAGCTAAATACATTGAGCTCCTTTCAGAGGAACAGCCGTGTTAGTCTGTATTCGCAAAAAGAAAAGGAGTACTTGTGGCACCTTAGAGACTAACCAATTTATTTGAGCATGAGCTTTCGTGAGCTACAGCTCACTCATAACATCTGATGAAGTGAGCTGTAGCTCACGAACGCTCATGCTCAAATAAATTGGTTAGTCTCTAAGGTGCCACAAGTACTCCTTTTCTTATTGAGCTCCTTGAGTCTCAGCCCTGGTCTACACTAGGACTTTAGGTCGAATTTAGCAGCATTAAATCGATGTAAACCTGCACCCATCCACACGATGAAGCCCTTTATTTCGACTTAAAGGGCTCTTAAAATTGATTTCCTTACTCCACCCCTGACAAGTGGATTAGCGCTTAAATCGGCCTTGCCGGCTCGAATTTGGGGTACTGTGGACACAATTCAACGGTATTGGCCTCCGGGAGCTATCCCAGAGTGCTCCATTGTGACCGCTCTGGACAACACTCTCAACTCAGATGCAGTGGCCAGGTAGACAGGAAAAGAACCGCGAACTTTTGAATCTCATTTCCTGTTTGGCCAGCGTGGCAAGCTGCAGGTGACCATGCAGAGCTCATCAGCAGAGGTGACCATGATGGAGTCCCAGAATCGCAAAAGAGCTCCAGCATGGACCGAACAGGAGGTACGGGATCTGATCGCTGTTTGGGGAGAGGAATCCATGCTATCAGAACTCCGTTCCAGTTTTCGAAATGCCAAAACCTTTGTCAAAATCTCCCAGAGCATGAAGGACAGAGGCCATAACA